GCCTATATCAGCTATTTAGGAGGCTGAGGCAAGTGAATTACTTAAGCCCAAGAGTTTGAGGTTGTCGTGAGCTGTGATGCCACAGCATTCTACCTAGGGCAACAAAGTGACACTCTTGTCTCAAAAAAAAAAAAAAAAACCATAAAAAAATAAAAGCAAGCACGAGTTAAGGTGGCATTTGTTAAAAGCATTTCAAATCACTTCTGCAGGCCCTGGAGTTTGTCAAGATTCTCCTGTATTGATGGGCAATTTCCTCTGATCTAAGAAAATCATCTCATGATAGAAAGGATATGCAGGGCAGTGCCTGTGGCTCAAAGGGGTAGGGTGCTGGCCCCCTATGCCAGAGGTGGTGGGTTCAAACCCAGCCCCGGCCAAAAACTGCTAAAAAAAAAAAAAAAGAAAAAAAAAGAAAGGATATGCAACATTAAGCTGCTTAACTGGAGCTGCTTAAATTCTGTCATCCAAATTTGAGACAGGAGCTTACCAAAAGCTTCTGGTAAGGATAAGGCAACACAGGCACCATTGCCAGGCCCCTACTTTGCTCTGCTAAGCCTTAAGGGACATCCAGCAAAGAGCAACCAACTGACAGAAACCTTACCTGTCTCTTTAAAACTAGGTGTTTTCCCTTCCAGTACTTGAGCATCTGAAGGGCTTGCAGAGTGCTGACAATGTCCACAGGATTCACAGCCGTCTCCTGGCTGATTTCTGAAATAAAAGAGCTACTGAGAACCTGCCAAAATGCAGGTTTTCAATCCCATCCTGCCCAAAGCCTTCTTTCCCTTAGGGGAAATCCAAAAGGACCACTCTAAATGGTTGGAATCTTCTGTACTCAACCCACCCTGTTCAGAAAACGTTTACAAAGCCTTCATTTGACCAGTCCAAATATATATCGAAGAGAGATACATCAAGAAGCTACTTTTGATCCCTTAGAAATCAAGGTCAAATAGGAAGAAAACTAATTCACCCTGCATCCTTTCCACAGGGATGCCTTTTTCTTAGAAGCTTCTGCATGTGCAAAAAGACTTGAAGTTTTTCTTCTGACTTTTCTAAGAATTAAAGTGTTAGCAACTCCCGATTTGAGGAAACAATTCATAAGCGTTCCTAGGAGCCAAATACTCTGGAATCCTGGGCTTGTTTAGTGAGGGTCTCTGCAATGGTCCACGTTCAGTGAGTCTTCTGTTCTCATATTCAGATGAAATGCAGAATGCATTATTTTTGCAGGTTAGAAAGCATGAACAGGGGCCAAATGAAAAAGTGTATCTAGTGGAGTTAAAACTGGATAACGATTACCCATTCCAAAAAGTCAGAAACCAACCTTTGATAGAAATTTCTTTGCCTTGGAAATTATGCAGGTAACGGAGAAGCACTTCCTTCCAGTAGCTGCGATAGCTTATAAGCCCCAGATCTGAGAGTGGACGTTCTGGGGAGCCAACTTTCTCTTCCACTTTGGAAAGCAAATAACCTGCCAAGGAACAAATATACAGAATTTTTCTAGCAGCACTTTTTTTTTTTTTCCAGTTTTTGGCTGGGGCTGGGCTTGAACCCGCCACCTCCAGCATATGGGGCCGGTGGCCTACTCCTTTGAGCAACAGGCGCTGCCCTCTAGCAGCACTATTAATCTTACCCCAATAACAAAGAACAATGTGCCAACATGAAAGAAAGTTTAAGTACATCCACTCTACAGTATCAACTAGGGTTTAGTCATTCAGCGGAATACTACTGTGTGGCTATTAAGCAAAGTATACTCCTTTTAAATAAACAAAAGGGAGAGTATTTGTACTTACTTATGCAGTAGTTCCCCCTTATCCACAGGGGATACATTCCAAGACCCTCAGTGGAGGTATGAAACTATAGATAGACCCAAACCCTATATATACTATGGTTTATTCCCCTACATACTGGTTTTCCCCCCAGTTTCACATACCCATGATAGTTTAATTTATAAATTAGCACAGTAAGAGATTAACAACAATAATAATGTAATAAAAGTTATGTAATGTGATCTCTCACTTTCAAAATATCTTACTGTACTCACCTATTTTGGGACTGTAGATGACAGTGAATAACTAAAACCTCAGAGAATGGCAGATAAAGAAGGAACTATTATAATAGGCACTAAAAAGACTCCAGGAGGCTTCACTAAACTTTCATAACAATGGTTTCTGTACTCAAGTGTTAGAAACAAAGGAGATGGGAACCATTTTCATTACATGCTGCCTTTTTTTTTTTTTTTTGAGGCAGTCTCAGTCTATCACCTTCGGTAGAGTGCTGTGCTGTGATGTCACAGCTTACAGCAACCTCAAACTCTTGGGCTTAAGTGATCCTCTTGCTTCAGCCTCCAGAGCTGGACTACAGGTACCCGCCACAATGCACGGCTAGTTTTTTCTATTTTTAGTAAAGACAGGTCTCACTGTTGCTCAGGGTGATCCTGGACTCCTGGGCTCGAGCAATCCACCCACCTCAGCCTTCCAGAGTGCTAGGATTACAGGTATGAGCCACTGCCCATTACATGTTTTTATGTTTCAAGTCTTTGAACTACAAAACAGATTTCAGTATCACCCACAACATTGTCTGAGATGTAAAAAAAAAAAAAAACAAAAAACCAAATGATGAAACCTCTAGTTTAACACCTAAATATCTAACATCTAACTTAACAAAAAACAATTAACAAAACCCCCAAAACAAACCCAAAGAACAAAATCACAAAACCAGGGAAATTTGAATACTATAATTCATGATATTAAAGATTTCGGGCTTTAAAAAAAATTTTTTAGGCATAATAGGCTTTATCTTTTAGAGATACCAAAATAACGGAGGGTAGAAATACAGGAAAAACAAGATTGGCCAAAAAAATGATAATTATTGAAGCTGGTTGATGGTACAGGGATGTTTCTTTAGACTCTAATTCTACCATTGTTATCTGTTTGAAAACTTCCGTAACAACAAGTTTATAAAAAAGATGTTACCTATTTAATGATATGTAGTCTCCCCCCTAACCGTAGATCATTTTTCATAATTAATTTCTTCACAATAATTCATTTCTTCCCAGGTGACCCAAAAATGAAAAAAGGCTTGGAAGCCTAATTCTAAGAATGCTGAGTCCCTGCCTTCTGCAGCAAAAACATAGCAGTTGTACTTACTGAAATCAATGAGCATTTTGCCATAACCTTGTCTCATGTACTGAGGCATAGTAAGGATACAGGACACATTGTAGTTGAGGAATGAATTCTTTTCCTAAAATCAAGAGCAGACACATGCAGATTACAAAGGTTTACAACTCAAGTTTTCAGCACTCCCACAGACACAAAATAAGGCGACTTGCCAAGTATCTCACTAACTAGTCCTGGGGAGTGACTGTCAGGCTCATAGCTGTTAAATCTACACTCTTTATGATGGCCAGAGCCATTAATCCCCAAGTTTCCCTGATATCTCCAGTCTCATTTTAAGGAGGCCTTTACAACCTCCGAGTAGGGCAAAAAGGTTAAGACTACTGAGCTAGTGTACAGCAGCCCACTTTAAAAGCAATTTTCAAAAGGAAGCTGCCTACTGAAAGAAGGGAAGGAAACAAAACACTAAGTCCTCAATCTGGAAGGAGACCAAAAAAATAATCAAACCACATATACGATTCTACTTATAGAAAATGCCTAGAACAGACAAATTTAGAGATGTAAGGGCTGGGAGTGGTTGAGTGGAAATGGGGAGTGATTACTGACGTGTACAGGGATTTCTTTCCAGGATAACGAAATTTGTGCTGTAAATGTATTAAAACCGCTAGATTTTATACTTTAAGTGGGTGAATTGTATGGTATTTGAATAATATTTCAATTGTTGTTACACTAAAAAGTCCTAATAAAAATACAGCCTTGGGTCTTTAAAAGGCACAGTAATGTTTGTTATCACTGAAGGGATTATACTATTATAGAAGGAGCCCAGCTAGAGAGCCAGGCAAAAGGAATGTATTCCTGGTTTTGAGCTAATAACATAGAGGTGGGCAAAGCCAGGATGGCTGCCTTACTACAAGGCTGCTAGTAGGTTACCAGGGAGGACCCGGCCAGTAATTAATAGGCAGCTCTAGCCCACAAGTCCAGAAATGAATATGCCAGTTCTTTTTAATAAAGAACTATACACTCTCATTAAGCAATCTTTGAAAAATGGGTTTTCCTTTTTTTTAAAAGGGTTTAAAATCGTTGCCCAGGTTACTGCCTCTTTGCGTCAGTAATTTGAGCCCCACATGCCAACATTAATCATCCTGTTCTAGCCATTAGCTTTTTAATCTCCAGATCCTGCTGACCTTAGAAAAATATCCAATCAGATGACACCCAGTGTTGTCCGCTTCTGTCATAACATAGAACAGGAAGGGTTCCACATCATAATACAACGTCTTGTGGTCCAGAAAAAGCTTTGCCAGTAAGCACAGGTTTTGACAATAGATCTAGACGCAAAGAAACAGTTCAAATTTACCAGATAAAGGTTTCAAATTAACAATTATACCATTATTGATTTTTGTTTTTTTGAGACAGAGCCTCAAGCTGTCCCCCTGGGTAGAGTGCCGGTGGCATCAAAGCTCACAGCAACCTCCAACTCCTGGGCTCAAG